GTACTTGGATCTATATTTGCAAGTCATTCCAATTCTTTGTCGTCGGAAATATGATTCAACTTGTCCGCCATTATTTTTTTTCGTAACTTCAATCCAATTCTTCGCTTGCGCGATGCGAGAAAACCTGTCAAAACCGGTTCTCTGGAGTACAAATACCGCGTGACATTTGTACTCGTCTATGGCGTTATTTGTACTCTACGGAGTGTAGTTGGATAATAATGAGGAATAACCTTCAGCCGCTGTTAATACAATGTTTTTCAGATTTCAAGCTTCGCTTGACGGGATCCAGTCTAAGTTTTGCTGGTTTAATCGAGGTGATGTATTACGGAGTCTGGGGAGGAATACTTGGCGGTGGTTATATCGATATCAATGCAGGTCATGTGGTGTGTCGTCAGCTGGGATATCCAGGCGCTGACGAAATTTTCCAATACGCATCCTTCGGACGATTGAAAGGGCCATTTTGGATATGGAGGATACATTGCAATGGGAATGAACTGAAAATCTCAGACTGTGCAATAACCACGTGGGAAAAAATCACAAACAGATGGTGGATTCATATATATTACCAAGAAGAACGTACAGATTATGCAGCCGGCGTTTTATGCAGAGAGACAAACTTCAACCCATCTCAAAGTAAGCCACAACCAAGGACATTTTCAGTTGCGACTTCGCAAATAGAAACATGGTTGGCAATATAATTTTGCAATTTAGTCTTTCTCTTTTTTTTTTTCCGTTTGTTATTGAATAATCAACTTGTATTTTGCTACTCACATTGCCTTCGAGTAAGGAATGACATCAATGTAGAAATTTGACAAAATTTTCTTATGCACCGGTAATAATGTTAATGATAATTTCTAAACATGGAATTAAAATGAAAAATCTGCATTTAAAACACAGTATCATTTTGTTAATGAACAACTTCTCAAGAATAAGGCAATCAAACTTTTATCTACGTTCCTAAAATGTTTTCGTTAACTACGGGGTAAGGCAGACAGAATTCTCTTAGTTTCTTCGATTGCTGAATGTTTTTGTTCGCTTACACACTTTATAAAATGTCAGGTTGTTCAACCCACATACACTGTATCGTACAGATTTCGTTATTATTTACCAGTGACTCATTGGCAGGTAACATTGATATGGAAGACGTTGCGCACGTGACTTTGAGTACCAAGTTGATCTTTACTCCTAAAGGTCGCCTTTGGAAGGAAACAAAAAGATGACGTGTCAAAAAATTGGTTTAGATTTGCAAATTTAGTAACATAACCATAATATACAACTAAGCAAGGTAAAGTCTTTAACTAAAGTCGATATTCAACGGCAGGAACATATTACTGGTAGATTTGGAACCCGTGATGCCAGAGTAACGTATGTTTTTTTTTTTTTTTTTTTTAGTGTTGAATGTGAGGCTCACTGGTGCTCCAATCAGTAATGCTGGACAAGTAGAAGTATTTTACGCAGGAGTCTGGGGATCAATAGATAGCAGGGGATGGGACATCAATGCTTCTCGCGTGGTATGCCACCAGTTGGGGTATCCTGCGAGTCTTTCATCTGGCTATAATAATCAGTTTGGTTCTAATATAGGGCCGAGATGGTTCCAGAACGTGAGGTGTCTTGGTAACGAGACAAATTTAGGAGAATGTACAAAAAATGTGTATGGCCGCCCTTCAAGTGGATCAAGTGCTGCAACAGCTTTATGCAAGCTACCATATCAAACAGGTAACCTAGCTACTTTTTGGACACAAGCTGATGTTGTCATGTAGATACATTTTCATAAAATTACCTCCTCAGAATCTAATTCAGATTTTCACTAAAAAAATTTTTTTCCAATGATGTACCCAGCCTTATTTTTAGCAAAAAACGCAAAAACATGCGAAACACAAAGGACAAGTGCAGAGGGGCAGGGATTAAGGAGTCATAAAATAAAATCAAGACAAAATAAAAACGAAAAAAAAAAAGAGATACAAAAATACATCATGTAGTGAGCTGTACACAATTTTTGGTACTCTCTATTCTGAGCTTTCCTTCCAATCCTTCCCGGAATGATGTATGTCCAATCTTGTTCCTCTTACATACTATTCCATCCGCGCGAAAAACATAAATGATTTAATAAGTAACTAAAATGTAGTATTATATCACGATTGGCGAGGGGTAGGAGGATCTTATGAAATTAGTGTTCTGTATAATGAAATAGTGGGGGTCCCCCGACACTCATATCGTTGCAAACTGAACTTTATTGGGTTCAGCAACGTTTCATTCGTCTTGTAATAAGCACACTAATGATCTGTAAGAATATTCTCTGCTTTCCGCTGTCATTTTCAAGATATCTCTTCAAAATGCTCGAAGTTCAAATGTCAACACCGAGGAACCTGCATTGATACTGGAGGTGGTGCTGTTTGCAACTGTACAGAAGGTTTCACAGGAATCCATTGAGAAAAACGTGGGTAAAACAACTCAGTTATGTTATCATTAAATTTTTATTAGATCGCAATTGTTTGCAAGTTTTGAACAATCGTTGATAATACACAGAGCGATTATAAAAATGGAATTTGAACAAGCAACATCACGGTTTCAACCCGGATACCTTAAAGATAACCACCAGCAAGCCCATTTTTGTTTTGACTGGCACAAACAGATTGCATAGATCCATATTCGCATCCTTTGTACCTTAATTTCAAAGCCGAAAAAGATACGTGCCTATAACAGATCCAGATTCCCTTTTTTGAGAACACCATTCCTGGTGGTTTATTGCACTTATCATAACCGTAAGTAACGCTCCCATCAAGAAGAAGAACAATGACCAAGGGGTTTAAAACTTTGATTTTAAAAGATTGCAAAGTTAAGCATAATCTTTTCAGAGCTCACCGCATCCCAAATGCAAAGGAAATTCCGTTCACCCGCCTTTCTCTGCTTTGGGGGGGATCTAGACGTGATTTACCTGGTTTGAGCATCAGAAGCTTACCATTTTCTGCCGCCATCACACCAAAGTGATCGCTTCAGTATCTTTTTTGGTTTGTCTTACTCCTGTAGCACTATCTAATCCATGTCAGAATTCTCTGTGTGAGAATGGTGGAAAATGTTTTAGCTCAAAATCTTCATATATCTGCTCGTGTTCCGATGGGAGGTCGGGGCTTCGTTGTGAGGAGCGAACTACGATCAGTAAGTTTATTTTTTGTCTTCATCCGTTGTTGCAAATATATAGAAACAAACTTAGGTCAGTTCTGGCAACGAGCAGAACGAACCTGTGGAACATGATGTGATGATCGTTGAAAGCGAGGCTAGGTGATTTCCAAAACTCGTGACTACAGCACCATAAACTTGAGGGTCTAGCAATTGTTCTCTTTTAATTTTAAAAATTTTACCTTTTAATTCTCATTTCCTTTCCTCGCTAACTTGAAATCTTTGTTGGAAAGTAACTGTATACATGTTGAGCCAAAACATTAGATAGGAATCCTTAACACTTTGTTGAAAAAAAAAACGCGTCCTAAACAATCCTCAATTTAGCTGAACCTTTTTCTGAGCAATTATTTTTTAATACAGTGCCAAGAGGGCCAAAAGCTAACAATAGAAGAACAATCATTTAGTTGAATCCACGCTCTTAATAGAAAGCGAAGCTCACTGACTGCGTAAAACTATGGTTTGGGTCAGACTTTCTGTAACCAGTCCTTGGTGGTCAAATAAGGTTATACCATTTTGAGTCACAACGAGTAAGAATTGTTGCATTTTTTAATAGGGCTGAATTCCTCTCAAGTTTTGAATTGGAGTTGTTAATTTTTTCTTGTTCTTATACTTTGCAGCCGCGAGGCCGTGCCAGAGCAACCCGTGCACAGACAATTCATTTTGCCA